TTTATGTAATCTTTCTCTTAACAAATGTAGGTTTTGCTCATTTTTTTTTCTTTTTTAGGTAGGCAAGGCAGGAGAACAAGAATACCTAATATATATGCCTTTTTGAGATTAAAGGCAGGGAGCTGAGCCACCTAGCTGGTAATGCCACATGAGCTTCCTGAAGGGGAAATAGAATTGTGAAAGTGGTTCTCTGCAGGAGTCTGAAATAGTCAGGTCAGAAATATATAATAAAAAAGTGTGGTCTCAGTGGAGTCAGGCAGGGGCAGCTATAAAATGTGGAAAAATAATGAAAATATAGGTAGTTACCAGGCATCTTCAGAAATCTCACTGAGTCTCTCTCTTCACGTTGTTTTGGCAAATGCTGTCATGTTTTTTTTTTATTATGCAGAAGGAAAATATAGTGGCGTGTTTTGCAATAAATAAAGTATTGGAAAATACACTGTAAGAAAAGAGGTTCTGGTAAGGGAAGGTACCGGGTTGTTTGAATTTCCAGTTCCTAACCTATTACTATTTAATACTTAAAGACATGAAATTGTCAATTAAAAAAAAAATTACAAAAAAAAAAGAATGCAGAACAATTTCCTCCATGCTCCATTAACTACATGCACGGGCAATAACTTGTGTATGTCAGAGATTTCTACATCCTTTATCTGTCTGATTTCTTTTCTATGTGCTTTTTTCTGGTTTTGGAAGATGTTAAATAACAAATCAAGATTTCTGTCAAAAATAAGTGAATATTGCATGTTCTCTATGCGAGTTTTTCAGTGTACTGCTTCTGTTGTGCCCACTTATTTTTCTGTAAACTTATGAAACAATGAAGAGAGGTGACTGAAAAAATAGACTGTGCTTGTGTGCAATAATGTTAATACTGTCTCTAATAACTTGAGTGTAGTTTTCACAAAACAATAGTTGTGTTCTTCATAAAGAGTCATGACACATTAAACACTTCTTGATCCAGGAGAGGAACCAATATAGGCTAACAGATTATTATTGCTTTTTTAGGCTTTTTGGGGTTCCCAGGTTTCGTGTTTTTCTCTCCTCCTCTTTTGTTGGGTAGACTCTATGATTTTTCTGTGTTCTCAGCTGTCCATATTTTGTCAGGAGTAAATCTGTCCTCCTAATAGTATTCACAACTATCTTTTCAGGCTTTTTTCTTCTTCCCAGAAATGACACATTGCTATATCAGAATAGAAACTATGTGAGAACAAACCATATCCTGTGCTTGTATATCAAATATCGTACAATGGAATTCATCATGTCTTTTTCTTAAAAGCAGGTGGTCTTTCTGCATCTTTTACTTTTGGCAAGAGAATATTAGTTTTGTTCTATATTTGGAATCAAAGTTGGATTCTGGAATAGCAGTGTAATTTTTTTTTAACTTACATTCATTTGTTGGCTTTAAACTAAGGAATAATGTTGACATACCTCTCCCTCTTCAATGTTTATAATTTTAATGAATTGTTATATTTATTCATTGCAGTTTTATTTTGATAAGCTAAGTAAGCAAGACTAATTTTTCTTTTCTAGAACAGGCTCTTTGGTCATATCAGTAGCTCCTTTCTTGTAATCAGTACTTCTTTTTCTTGGAAACAGAATTGTGAGTGGTATTCCAGACAAATTGTTGCTCATGTGCAACAATGCTCTTATTTCCCTATCTGTATTGCATCCTTGATGTTCATTTGCCCCTTTTCCTCCCACTTATTTATTTGCTTCTACAGAGCTACATGGGTTTATATTTGACCACAAAATGACTATACTCCCAAGTAACAAGCCTTGACTATGTGAAAGGAGCTTGTATCTGTCCCTACATGCAGAAATCCTGCATTTCATATGATTTCATTTCATGGCTTCCAGTATGCCATTTCTTCAAGACCAATCACTTGTATGTGTGGTACTCGGTTCCCCTTTTGTTGCAGTGCTTTCCACTTCTGTTTCATCTAAATCCACCTATTTGTGGCAGCTGTGCTTTTTTTTTTCTTTTTTTTTAAAAAAAAAAGTTCAGTATAATTTTTTGAGGAGCCTAATAGTTCTATTCCAGTCCAGTTGCTCCATACTGGTAACTTCATACTGTATTCTTGTAAAAAGTTTCTTTCTTAATTTAAGATTACACTCTTATGACATTTATTTAATGTCATGTGATTTACCAAGTCCAGCTTGTATTTCGGTTGATTTTCTTTCTTTTCAAGGAAATGACTGATTCATTTTTTAGGTATTGGATTAGTCCAGCATGTCCTAAATCTGCTAACGCTTTCTGCATTTTTACCCTGTTTTCCTTTTTAATACAACTGAATTCCGACTGCTGAGCCTGATTACTTTTTTCTTCTTTAAGTGTTAGCTACAGTTTTCCTGTTTGTTTGTTTTTTCCCTCTCTAATCATAGGATGGCACATGTCATTTTACTAAAACGCTTATTGCATTTTTTGGGGATGGCTCTAGTGTTTTAGTGTAGACATTTTTTTCTGTGCCCCAGTTTTGGTGTATCAGCCTCCTCAAGTTATGCTTTTACCTTGCAAGGTGTTAATATATGTGCATTCCCACTAACTAGTCTGTCTTTATTCCTGTGTTTAGTGGCATTGTTTGTATAAGAAACCAAGGCACATTTTGTTGTCACCAGTACCTCCATGAAATGGTATCACTTCTTCTGTGTTTTTTTTTAATTATTATTTATAAATTATAAGCAGTTTCACTACTTTTTTGAATGTAGGGATGGGTTTTGTGGCTAGAGAAAGAGGTAATACAAGTTATCCTCTTCTGTGAAGTAAAAGTAATAATGTGTCTCTTCAGTTTCTGAGCAGCAAATACTCTCTGATAAGATACTTGATTTCCATTTACAAAAAGTGTTGAAATAAGGTGAAAGATTCAGTCAATTTTGTGGCACACTGTTCAAGCATCCAAGTGTAATTTCCTTGAATGAGTTCTTGGAATTACTGAAAATGGCAAAGGCATTTAATGTTTGCTATTAAGATATCTCTATGACAGCGTACACAAATTAATTCTCACAGGGCATTCTTGAATGTGGCTTATACTCAGGAAGTTCTCACCTGCAAGAGTACAGGTGAAGGTGTTCCTTATACCAGTGGGGAAGGAAAATATTTTACGTAAGGTCAGGATAATTTTCAAACACAGCAACAACGTAAGTGGAGGATGCTTTTTGCTCAGTTTTCCACCGACAACTAAAAACTGTTGGTTACGCATGAGTAGCTTCATTAGGTGCACGTAACAAAGTGCCTTCTTGTGAAAGCTCGAGGAAACGTTCAGACTGTTTCGTATTTGCAGTTATGAAAAAAGGGAGATGGAACAAATCAGCACCAAAGTGCTATTGAGAAGTGGAGCTGTTGAAAAGAGAGCTGCATCTCCTGAAGAGATGCGGAGATCTCTGTAAGATTTCTTCCAAATCTTGCAGCTCCCTCCTCAACTTGCTTACATTTTTTGCCAAGTTTTTACCAAAAATATAGGTGGGAGGGGATGGGGGGAGCAGTTTCTCTTCTGTTTTGTCACACCTCCTGCTCTGGGGTCCTTCTGTAGTGAGTAATAACAGTTTGTGCCTCTACTGTTGCTTGTTCAAGCAGCAACATGGATTGACGGAATTCTTAACAATCTCTTTACTGCCCCTTACCCTGGATATTGGCTAGGAAACCACCCAGAATCAGCCGTGCTGTTTTCCTGAACCTGTGGACACACAACAGTAGTTCATTGATTTGTACTGGGTTAATGTTTGGAGAGTAGCTGTTGACGTGAAAGGTATTTTAGGACATCACGTGAGTTGATTGAATTTCTCTTCCAAGGTTTTGGCCAGAGCAGACACGCATGTAGTTCAGCATAAAGAAATATATGTTATACCTGAACATACCAGATTTGTTTGGCAAATAAGTGTATCCATTTCTGTGACTCCTTGGATTTCTTTACCTGGTGAAATATGTCAATTTATAAGCTGTGAAAGCTCCTGGTTAACCTACCAGGTGTATACCTACATTAAACGTCCGAAGTAGATTATCTAGGTGACACTGGTGGCTGTATCAGGAACTGACAGTCTTCTGGGAAGGGCAGACTGGAGGCCAGGTATTTAGTATGCACTGATCCCTGAGCCTTGTCTTCTCCAGCCTGAACAACCCCAGTTCTCTCAGCCTCTCCTCACATGACAGATGCTCCAATCCTTCAGTTGTATTTGTGGCCCTTTGCAGGACTCACTTCAGTCTGGCGTGTACTGCGGAGCCCAGAGCTGGACCCAGCTCTCCAGATGTGTCCCGCTAGTGCTGACTGGAGGGGCAGAATAACATTCCTCAGTGTGCTGCCAGCTATTCTCCCAGTACAGCTCAGGGTGCTGTGGGGGCACCTTGCTGGTTAGTGTTCATCCTGGGGGCCACCAGCCTCCCCAGGTCCCTTTCTGCAGAGCTGCTTTCCAGCTAGTCGGCCTTCAGCCAGGACTGATGCCAATACTGAATTCTTCCCAAGGTGCAGGGGTTTGCATTTCCCTGTGATGAACTTCATTGGTTTCCTGTTGGCCTCTTTCTCCAGCTTCTCAAGGTCCCTTTGAATGGTAGAAGAACCAGTCACTCCTCTATTTACAGCATAGGAAACTTTTTTCTTTATGTAGACAAGCCATTGAGTCTCTTAAGTGTGTTTTGCAGTGTGGTGAAAGTTTCTTTCTTTACTTTACAATATCATTACAAAAATGGTGTCCATAGTGGTAAAAGTCATAAAGCTCATGAAATAACTCCAGCTTTATACCTAAGGGTCTTTAAAAGGCTTAGGGGAACAACTTCGTTACAAAGTAAGCTGAAATGTAGAGTCTTGAATATGACAGTGATCTTTGGACAGCAAAGATCAAGTTTTGAAAAGTAATGTTTTCAAAAAATAATGCTCATTGACATTAAGTGCTGTGTATCGCGGTATTCTTTTCTGGAGAGTGTTTATGGTAACATAAACATTAATAATTGAAGCTGACCTAAGAAATTATACTACTAACTTAAAATATTGCTGCTTGTGTTTTTTCAGACGCTCCTATTGCAAAAGCAGCTGTTGAAAAGACACAATTTTTTTTATAAGAAGAGAATGGGTAAGTTGATCATCTCAGAGGGTTCTTTTTTGTTTCCTATAATGTGAAGCATTTTCTCTCTTACATCAGTAGAGGTGATCTTGTCACTGTTTTTCTGGTAGCCTCAAAAGTTAATGGATCTTCCTATAAATGATTTTTAGGAGGATTTTCTCGAGTGACTAGATTTGTTGAAAGACTTGTTCAGTGTATATCTATCTAACAAATTTCACTTGCTTAGTATACATAATGCTGAAAACGTACATGCTAAGGTGCGATGCCTTTAGGTTTTTATAGCACAAAATGTCTAGAAAGTGGGTAAGAAAATGCCACTATGTACTCTTTTAAATATTTTTTGTTTGTTTGTTAACTGAGACTAACCTGTTGAATTCTGGCTAAGAAATAATAATAATAAGGACCAATTTCGGATAAATTACATTGTGCGTGTCTGTGTGATCTGACTAAATGTCTAAAACTGATGTATCTGCCTTTATAAATGACTGCTTAATGAAGAATGATCAGACAGATTCTGGTTTTATCTGTACTTTTTCTGATCGTATTTTAGCATGTTTGGCACTGTCGGTACTTTCTTAAAATTGGCAATAACTACATAGTAATTCAGTTCTAACTTCAAATTCACAAAGCAACTTGATTGTGGGAATGTTTTATTTGCCATAACGCTAGATACAATGCAAGGGACATTTTCTATGTAATTAATTTAGTTTCTATTCTCTGTTTTGTCAGAAGGAGAAACACCACTAACAATCAGATGTCAAGTTTGCAGTCTATACATGTTTCATCTTCTGTATTTCTGCATACAGTCATGAAATACTGGCAGTATGTTACTTTCTAGAAGCATGCTGATCTCCTCTGTTACACTTTTTCAAGCTGGAAAAGCTTCCAGGACTTTGATTTTCAACTTTCAAGTGAAAATCAGATTTTATGTTCAGTGTCAAATTCAAATCTTTTATATTGGAATTCTAGCAGTACTTGCCGTATTAGTCCATTAGAAAATACAGTATTTGAAAGATGTTAACTTTCTAGTTTGAATTTGGCAGGAATTGTATGTTTACTGAAGGGGGGCACTTTTTTTCTTTTATGCTTTTTTTTTCAGAAATAGTTTAATATTGCAGCACTCTTTATTACTTAAGAGTTTGCAGGAGCATATAAAAACCAACTATGGAGGCAATCTGTGTAGTGCCATGATGTCCTACAGTGCTGAACACAAAGTAGTCGGTGGTTCTTACCCCAGAGAGCGTCCTGCCTAAATAGCAAGACAGGCACAAGATGGAGAAGCTGTTAAGATGGCACAGAGTGAACAGTGCATGGAAATGTTGGTTTTTCAACGTGTAAAGACAGTGCTGTTAGGAGACAACAAATGAAGGAACAAAAAGGGAAGGGGAGGTAAGGGCTTCTGGAGGAGCAAAGTAGAGAGCTGGTATAGAGCGAGACAGAACGGAGAATGGAAGCAGAAAAATCACAGTCAAAACTGCTCTAGGGAGAATTTCCAAATTTCCTTGGGTTTAATGCTTTTGCACTTTCCCTGTTTTCCACCAAAGGTCACAACGTGAATGTGCATTAACACTGTCCAGTTGCACATCTGGCTGGGCAGGATGAGTCTTATTTCCTATAATTTCTTCCATGTAGGAGTACTGACTGCTTTTATTCTTACCTGTGCTTCAAAAAGCACTTTTTTCCTTGCCATATGTTTTTTTAAATACTAGATATGTGTTTATGTAACTTATAATAAGTTCTATTTATATACTTCCTTTAAGTATGATAAGCATAGCAAGTAGCCTTATGGTGAGAAACGGTTGCATGTTCAACTCACTTCAGAATGTCGCAAGGAAAATTTAATCCCTATGTAGATTTTAGAAAGCATGTCAGAATTTGATGATGGGGAAAGGAGAGAGAAGAGATGTTAATAAACCAATTTCTTCTTTTGTAAAATTCTTACTTTAAGACAAATTGCTGAGCACTTCAGAGAAATTGTCTTCAAATATGTAAAATGCTTCTGTCTTGTTTCTGGTCGTATTGGGTTCATTGGTCTGCAAATGTAGTTGTAGAAGAAACTACAGCTTTCATTCTCAGTGACATAAATCAGTTGTATTCTGAATCTGTCGATCTCTTTTCTATTATAGATGGAGAAGAGAAAACGTATGGTGGGTGTGAGGGCCCAGATGCTATGTACGTGAAGTTAATATCCTCTGATGGCCATGAGTTCATTGTAAAAAGAGAGCATGCATTAACATCAGGAACAATAAAAGCTATGCTGAGTGGACCAGGTTGGTACAAAAGATCTAGTACTTTCACGTCCTTGCTTTTCACTTTTGGACAGGTTGAATTAATATCATTAAGTGAGTGAAAGTTCGAATAAATAATGACATTTCCTGCCTAGTTCCTGTTTCCAGTGGAACAGTCCCCCTCTGTGGAGTATTATGCTACCAGACGCATAATCAGACTCTCTCTGATGGTGGACAGTTAGTGATCTTAGGGTGTCATTACTACTAGTTTCCCATGGTGTGAGGACTTGATGGTATTACACGAAATATGTAGCTGTCAAGTTCACAACAAACAGGAGTTCGTAGTTCTTCATTGACACTTCTAGAATGAAACTTGTAGTATTGTGTAAATATTTATAGTATTCTGGTTAGTGTGGGGTTAATTTTTTTCATAGCAGGTCATGCGGTTCTGTGTTTTGTGACCAAAACAATGCCACAAACACGCTGTTGTTTCAGCTGTTGCTGTGTTTGCACAGTGTTCAGGCCTTCTCCGTTTCTCACTCTTCCCCCTGACCCAATGAACAGATGAAGAGGGGAAGTGTGGAAGAGGTTGGGAGGGCACACAACCAGGCAGATCATCCAAACTAACTGAAGAGCTAGTGCGTGCCATCTAAGGTCATGCTTGAAGTAAAAAAGGGTGGGAAGGGGTTAGGGAGGTTAGTTGTCTTTTCCTTGGGAACTCACCTCAGTCTCAGTCTGTCTGTGGGAGTTGGTGAGTGGTTACCTTTGCCTCAGTTATGTTTCGTTTCTATTTTTCCACTCGTCTTTTGCTTCATGTTTTTTTTTCCTTTCTTTCTTTCAATCTCAACCCACATGTTTTCTTGCTTTTACTCTTCCTTTCCTCTTCCCTTGTTCACTGTGAGGGGGAAGCAAGCAAGTGGCCGTGTGGTGCTTAGCCATCTCCTGGGGTTTAGGCCACAACATGTTCACAATGGCAGAGGGTTCCTGAGCTTTGTGAAAAATTTAGCTTAAGTTTGAGAAGAAGATAGATAAATTTACAGAAGGGAAGGACCTCATATGTTACTGAATATGTAAGACTACCTCTCGTTTAAGGAGCATCTGAGCTAATTCTTGAAGACCCAAAGGGTGGAGGAGAGAACAGGGAGAAATTAACACATGTGCTTTTGCTCTTTTGTCCCGTACTTTTACCTTTGGCCACTTGAGTGACAGTCAGCAGGCTATGTGGAGGTTTGGTCTAAATATGGTCATTCTTATATTCCCTTTTAGGTTCTGGCCAGGGGGATTACTGGAGAGATCTATTTGTTCAATGTATTTTGTAATTGTTTAGTAATTGTTGGGCAAACTGAGCAATAGTGGAAAGGCTAACCGCAGGATGACTTCACATCATCCAAGTTTCATGCTTAGGGGCACTGGAGAAAACTAATTTCAAGTGTACTTGTGTTTTGAGCATTGAGCTTTGAATAAATTCTTCATTATGTAATATGGATAAACTTGTACTGTATGTAACCTTTCCTCTAGTACAGCTAGGGCTTCCCTATCCCTCCTGCCTGCCTGCTTTCACAGCTTATCAAGTTAATGCATCTTTGAGGTTCCAACCTCCTGTCAAATCTGCCTGAAACTGACTCAAGAAATTCAAAACTAGTGGGGTCACAGAAGAGGCTACTGCTAAGTGTGCAAATGCAGATATGGAACATCTATAAACCTTTTTTTTTCTTGGATAAGATGGCTAGAAATTGGGATTGAGGTGTGGGTTCTTTTTAGTGTTTGTACTGTGACCTTTAGAGCTGAGCACAGTACAGTTTTAGAGCACCTATCAAGCAAGCATCAGAATGAAACCTAAATTTCTGGTGTGGTTGTTCAGAATGTTGTTAATAGGCTGCAGCCAAAATAAGCATTTTGTAATGAAGGAGATCTTCATATTCTTGAGGGCTGTGAATGTGGTATGTCGCGCCTGACACTGAGGAGTCCCCAGGAATATAGGACTTAAGCAGGTCTATTTAGAATGTATTGTATTAACATGATAAAGTGTTTCATTTTGCAATGAATTGAAATTCTGACTTTCAGTTTACTTTTTTGCTTTCTTTCTACAGGACAGTTTGCAGAAAATGAAACAAACGAGGTGAATTTCAGAGAGATCCCATCCCATGTCCTATCCAAAGTATGCATGTATTTCACCTACAAGGTCCGCTATACTAACAGCTCTACGGAGATTCCTGAATTCCCAATTGCACCTGAAATTGCACTGGAACTTCTGATGGCCGCAAACTTCTTAGATTGTTAAATAAAATAAATTATAATAAAAAATGTAAAACTTTTTTTCAGTATTTAATACATGTAGTTCAGTTAGTAACTTTTTTCAGATAGCATGTTGCGTGTGTGCTGTTGAGAACTGTAAAGTTCACTGCAGAGGCAATTGCCTTCAGTTTTTTTGCATATAGCGAGCATTCAGTTGAAGTTTGTTTTGCTGCTTACACAAATAAGGACCTTTTCACAAACTGAGACAAATAAACAAATATGCCAATTAGTAGATGGCTATGCCTTATCCTTTAGGTGTGGTAGAACTTTCTTTTAATACAACGACCATAGAAAATACTGGAGTTTAGTCTAATGCTCTCGGAAAGATAATTATAATTAAATACGAGTAGCTGTTTAGAGTTTCTAGCTTTCTCTTATTGTTAAAGTTTCTAAACATCTGAACTTAATCGCCTTTGTAAGATAGCTGTCTTTTAGCATAGTTATACTAACTAGATTAGAAGTGCCCTCCTTAAGGTTTGTGTACTGGCAGCGATATTCCATTTGGGTTGAAAGTGGAGTATGTAGGAGAATGCTTAAGGCTTTTAATTTAAATCATTATATAGACATGTGTAAAGGTGTACTTGATGTATTTTTCTTTTATAACCTAAGTTTTCCCCATTAGTAATTACAAATATTCAAGTCACTTTTATAGTAAGCCTGTGATCCTACTGACAGTGGCTTTTAAGGGGAAAAATAACCATTACAATCTATGTATATTATCTTCTGTATAACATATAAGGTTATTCTTAATGTACTGTCACTTGCCCTGTTATGGATTTTATATGCTTTCAGTTATGGTTTATTTCTGTTCTGGTGATTGGTTACGTAAAGTCTGTATTTAATCTTTAGAGTAGTCGTCATTTAAATTTCGTAACATAGCAACTGAAAAGATAGCAGTTATCCTATCTCTTTACCTCTTCCTCAACTTCTCCCTTGTAGCCACAGAAAAGGACCCTGAAATGTGGAGGTCTTTTATATTTGAAGGAAAGGGCATTAAGCAGATGTTTAAGGAGCTGTTTTATAAATTTCCTAGGTATTTCCAATGTTTTTACAAATATTTTAGGGTAAAAGGATTGGCAAGCCACTGACATAATACTAGAGTGGGACACAGTGTCTCTTGGCAGTTTCTGCTGGTAGTTGCTGATACTATCTGTTCGTTGTTCAGAACAAGTTTCCATAAAGGAAAAAAAAAATTAAACTCGAGACAAGAAGTTGCTTTCTGTTCATCTGCAGCCTGAAGAACCCTTCTGCCAAATCATGTTGGCGAGAATAAATCTAATGCATCATAAAAAGTGATCCAAGAGCAATGTAGTTACCATTTCCATCAGCTGCTGCTGCTTCAGCTTTGTTTTGATCACGAAGTGGCTGTGGTCTTTCTTGGAAAAATCCCACTGACACATGGTGGGACCTCTTTGTTAATGTATGAACTTATGAATTTAGAGGGCTGAAACTTTTTCCTCTGAATCTATTTGCCAATAGAAATAAAGCTTTGATCAGATTCTTCTGGACCAAAACTAGTAATTTACAGACTATGCAGTCTGCCCATGGAGGGATGAATGAAATTTTACTCTGGGCTTGAACAACGCTTGATAGACAAGCTGGCATTTGTCAATGTGTCGGTAGATTAGCTGACGTTTATTCACATCACATACTTTGGCACAATTTATTGTGTTTAACATGGGGCAGTTTTTGACTAGATTGGTTTTTGCTGAAGTGCTTTGCAAGGCGATTGTCTGAAATCTTACGTTTAAGCACTCTGGTCAGTGCTGTTAGTAACTCATTTTCAAGAGCACTAAAAAGATAAAACACAAACCAGAGATACCCTGTTATGCTGCTTTTGTTAGAGCCACTAGGAATACCCTAAAAGGTCAAGGAATACCGACGTGGATATTTTAGTCCCAACTACATTTCACTCAGAGCGAGTCTGAAGTTCTTCGGCCGTTCCTAATAGTCTCGAGGTTAATGACTTGAATTTTAAAATTACTTAGTTTAAAATTAAAGTAAAACAACATCATTTTATAAAAAGGTGTTTTTTCCTCCCACCTCCCTCCCCTGTTTTTAAGCATTCTAAACCAATCTCCTGTTAAAACACATTGCATTTCGTGATTTTGTAATTCAGTGGTAAGGAAGAATAGCTGGTTTAGTTCTGAATAATAATTTTGTTGGTTTTCCTTCAGCTGACGTTATCATACAGTAGCTTTGAACACTCAGGAAATGCAGTAGTGTCCTAGAGCACACAATCTGCAAAACCACCGGCTGTTATAACTAACCGGATTTCTAAGGGGGAGGGGGGCAGAGGGAATTAGTGCAATTTCAGTGATAGTGACATGGGTATGCTATTATCAGACAATTGGAAATTTACCACACTTAACCCCTGAGTTCTAAATAAATTTGAAAAATTGAAAATTTTTAAACCTGTGTTTCTGTTGATTTATGACTTTTCAGAGCAAGTATTCATATGTAGAAGCATAATTTTCCCAGTTATGTGGTGAGCAAATGGGTAATATAGTTAGTATTTGTGTTAATAGGTTGTGAAACTGGACATATAAAATTAGAGGGTTTTTTCATAGCCCTGAACAGTTTTGTAGATTTATAGTGTTTAGATAACTTTGTGCTTCTCTGGATTAAAAGTGTGGAATTCTCAGAAACAACCAAGTACTGAAAAAGGGTGGTATTCCTGAATAGCCTTGAAGTGGATAATTCGAAGGCTTTGGGTGTCCCATAATACTCTTTTTTACTTATAGGGTAAACTAGTCCTGTATCTGATGGTTCAAATTTTAAACTGAACCACTCATTTAGCCATAAAAACTTCCAGGTTCTTTACTAACTGTAAGCAGTGAGAAAAGTCCTGCTACGTTATGGTTTCTCATCAGGTGAGGATGTGTAAGCTGCTTGAATGGTCTCCAGCATGAAATAGGTCATGCATTTGGAACGATCAGAGCTCCGTTCCACAAGACATGAAATTCCTTTTATGGTTTTGAGGTTGAAGAAAGGAGGATTCGCCATCAATATTCACTTTGCCGTTATATTCAACAGTTGCATTGAACACGATGTCTTAAAAGGCATTTGTTAATGAGTGGTAACCAGTGTGGGAAATCGGTTGCTTCTCTCTGCGTTTTACTGCTGTACGCTGTACTTTGTAGGCACAAGCTGCAGTGGTGGGTATTTGTTTCTTTCACCCTTCCTTGTTTTCACTCTTCCCGTTGAAAAGGGTTTCCCAACACCTGCCTAAATTTGTTGGTTTATGTGACAGATCAAGTGGTTGAGGAAATTAATGTGGAGAAAAGTTAACTTGTCAGTCCATGTTTTGTGTCCCTAGTTTTATTATTTTGTTAAGTCTCAAATGTTGCAGTATAATTTAAAAGAGGAACAGCTACTGCAAAGGCAACGTTACTGGGTAGTACAGATGAGAAATAGTTTTAAGTAAGAGCAGAGGCTGTGGTGTAAACTCAATGTCAACAAGTGAATGAGAAAAATAGTAGGGACTCGTTTTAAGATGGAGAGGATGTGGAAGTTAAACTATTACATTGTTTCTTAAAGACAGACGAAAGCTTTGCAATTAGCAAAAAAAGCATTTCCCATGGAAAAAGTTCAAAGGATTTTTTGACAAATAATAAACTGGATTGGAGGTGGATTTCTTTCTAAATGTAGCTTACTGGGTGGTAATTTTAGGCAAAGATACAAATGGTGTGAACTCGGTATGTTGCACAATGATTGGAAGAGCTAGAAAAGAGCAAACAGCAGATTTTGTGATTATTATCAGCCACCTCTAAAGCTTGTTCGAGTGTCATCACTAAGACAGCACAGAGAAAAAAAAAAGGTGAGTTTTTATCAATTCAAGTTTTAACAAGTGTTACGTGTCACGAAATAAAGCTTTGACTGCATTACATCTGAAATGTAGGTTGTGGTGCAATCTCTCTTCTATGGGAGAAAGGTCACAGATGGGAAGGCAAAAAAGCAAAAAAGCTATTTCTCTCTGTCATTGCCATGTTTTTTGTTTACAGAACACAGGATTTTCCTCCCACGCTATGCAGGAGGAAAATCAGAGATGCGAGATCGCAATTACTCTTTGACAAATGGAGTACCTCAGCATGTTATCCTCTTGAACCTGTGTACTCAGGCAGTTTTCAAGATGTTAATCATGTAATGTTTCGTAGCCTCACCTGTTGAGGGTGGAATTGGAAAATAAAGTAAAAATCGCCCCTGAAATTTGTACTATGTTTTAGATTGGTGGAAGTAACAACTTGAGAATAGTAGGTAGGTTAAAATCTTACTGTACAATGCTGAAGTTACTAGTTTTCAGGATAGTTTTGTGAGATTAATTTTTGGGGAATACGAGCATGTATTAGTGCTACTCCTTATTTGTTGCCAATTTCTTGCCTTAACCAGAAGTTACAAGCAAATTCCATTAATATCTTTAATGTTAATTCCAATTGAAAACTGTCTTTTCAGGTGAAAATTCATAGCTAAGGCTTTTCTTCCCATGAAAAAAAATAAGACTGTATCTTATTTGCACTTAATAATAGAAAAACTCTGTCTCCAAAATCACCACTACACAAAACCATAAGTGATATATAATTTATGCCTTAGGTTGCTATAAATTCTTGTTACTCTGGTAAAACAATGGCATACTTGTTACGCAGGTTAATTCACTCTTACATAAAGAGTTCTCAGTTTTCATTGGTATCACTAAGCCTGAAAAATACCTAGAATGTTTGCATTTAGCACAAAGGATTTGACTTCTCTTTTTATACAGGGAAAATCCTCCCGTGTTATCATACTAAACTGACGTATTTTTTGTCAGAAGCGACACTCTGTTTGAGTCAGAATTGCTTGTAGCAAACCATGTGATACATCGATGTGGCACTAACATTGAAGCTGCTTTCAGATTTGTCGTAGACCACTTAAAGAATGAAAAATATTTGACTTGTAATAAACAACTATGACTTACAAGAAAACCGTCTGAAAATATTTAGCTGAGGGAGTCACGTAACTGCTCATCCGTTGTGTTTCCATAATGCAGCTGCTTTGTGGCAGTCTTATCCCTTGCCTCTCCCCAGGGACACTCAGGATTTGCTTCTTGTTCCTCAGGAGCTGTGACAGCTTATTGCAGAGCTGTAGGAGGTGCTCGAGAAGTCTCATCTCCAACAATTTTACCTTGCTTCTAGACTAGCAAGACCAAACTACTACTCAATTTTGAAAATTCCTTACCTGTATTTCCTTCACTGGGTA